CTGTGACTTTTGCTGAAATGACATCTTTGAATTTCAATCCCACCACCTGTAAAATAGAAAATACTATTAACTATCTTAGAGGGTTTTGTGAGGATAAATGAAATGTTTACAAGGTAAACAGCACAATAGCTGGCACACAAACAGCACTCATTTTTATAAGTGAGTGGCTGGACCTTGTCTCATTTCTCCTATAGCATATTGCATACCACACAGACTCTTAAATATTGGTTGAAGACACAAATCAATGATTAGTGATAACTGCTTTTTGCTTTTCTCAATAATTGTATGTTTTAGGCTGATATTTCTTTACTAAAGGGGAGGTGGGATGGAAAAGTACCAAGAGTATTGGAACATTTCAGCATTTTAGAAATGCTTTACACTCAGCAGTTCTAGACCAAATCTAGGACTAAACTTGGAATTTTCATGGTGACTTGGTCTTTGATGTGGAGTCTTACAGTAGTTCCTATGAAAGGTGCCACTTGCATACCAATTATGTTGTCATTGCTGTTATTACTTTAGAAAAACGAGTCAATTTGCCTTTTGTTTGCCCTCGGAGGAAGTGCCAGCCGGGTCAAGAGGGTCACCAGTTTGTGTTATTTTGCTTGAAAAATGCACAATGAACCTGCTTATGATGCAAAATAATGAACACTTCTAATTTCAGCATCTTATTGTCCAGTATGTGTCTGCTGGTAGTGGGTCATGTCAATTTGGCACTTAAGGTTGGCTTTCAACTTTAGAAAGGGCTTGGCAACCTACTTTATTTATATAAAGTTACATTAAAAGCAAGAAGGATCAAGGGGCCCCCTACCCTTTGTTTTGTTTCTGGCTGATGTGAGAGTAAGTTGGGAAAAAGCCAACCCAATTTTTATGTTTTATGGCTAATCATTGGCAGCATGATAGTAAATGGATGGAAATGTCACTGAAAGTAAAAGCTGAATTTCAGGTTGTTGAATTATAGTTGTTTTAAGATAGCTGCTATAGCTTAAACATTTTCCATTCATTTATATTACCATATTCATCAAGGTCAAAGGCCCACTTTTCATTTTTAAGAGACCTTATTTGGCAGATTTATAGAAAGGTCATTTTAAGTTGAGATAACCTGCAATTTGGAGAATGCACTGGTAGAAGAAGAAAAGACACATAAATGTCTTGAAGTCAAGTGCACTCTCAATGCCTTGAATTTTGACTCTAGCATTGTGTTTTACATGCCATTTAGAAGAAACAGGTTACTCTGTTTGAACTTAGATTCTACTAAGATGTGAGACTTTTTTAGAACTAAGCAGCTATTTTCTTACTTCTAGTGAATTATCAGGCTCTACATGATTTGAGTCTGAGATGCCCCACAACTCGAAGTAGACTGAGCATGTGTGAGTCAGAGGATGTAGGCTCCGGTCCCAGGAATTCTGTTTCCTCTGTTGAATCATGAGGAGTCACCTGGGAGTTGGACTTCTGGGTCTTTGAGAAAATGCTGTCTGTAGTCTTCTGCAGAATCATCTTCACCAACGTCAGCTACTCTGGTAGTGTTGGCCCTACAAGAAAGTGCCAGTGACCTCCTCTTAGTGACAACCCTTTAAGACTTAAATTCTACTCTGGGAGAATGATGAAGTGGTTCACAGGAACACCCAAATTAAAAGGCTTCATTCCACAAAAAACTTAACTTACACAACTGTTCTTGTTAATTTCCTTTTTGTTAGCATGACTGACCTGGTTTAGCCATTTCTGATAACCTAAGACCTTATTGGCTTTGATTTATTAGGCATGACTTAGAATTACACCTAATCCACCATGTATGTTACCCTGAGCAAAGACTTTACTAACCCTAAGTTTATTTAGATTTTTATTATCTTGCATTTACTAATTCAAGTATTTATGCTCCCATTTGTACACTAACTCTCTCAAGAGATAGTGCAACAACTTTTTATTTAGATAAAGTAACCACATATAAAATAAACTATAAAGTATAGTAAAACTATAGCTCTGATAAGTTCACAAAGGAAACTTTTCTCGAGCTATGAGAACATAAAATGGGAAATGAGACCTACCCAAGTAAATGAAAGATGCTTTAGATTTTAAAAAATAAATAGGAGGGCCTCCCTGGTGGCGCAAAGGGTTAAGATGCAACCTATGGGGCTGTTCACAACCTCTGCAGCATGGGTTCAATTCCTAGGCCGGCTGGGGACCAGCCCACATGGCATAGCAGACCTCTCCTGGCTCACCTGCTGCTCCCCTCAGCATTGTGCTTCGGTCAGTCTGCCTGTTCTGTTCCCCACTCTGTCTCTGGTAAGTCCTCTCAACCCCAGCATTCCTGGCTTGTGCTCCAGCTCTTGTATCCATGGATGAATGGGTCTTTAAGAAAAAAATAAAATAAAAAATAAATTGGAGTTAGAAGTAGAGTGTTTGTTTAGTAGGTCCAGAAATCTCCACACAGCTCTCCATAGTGGTTGGACCAGTTTGCACTCCCACCAACAGTGCAGAAGAGTTCCTTTTTCTCCACAACCTCGCCAACATATGTTGTTGCTAGTTTTTTTAATATGTGCCATTCTCACTGGTGTAAGATGGTATCTCATGGTAGTTTGGATTTGCATTTCCCTGATTGCAAGTGATGTTGAACATTTTTTCATATGCCTGTTGGCCATTCTCATTTCCTCTTCAGAGAAGTTTCTTTTTAGCTCTTCTGCCCATTTTTTGACTGGATTATTTTCTTTGTTGTTGTTGAGTCTCATCAGCTCTTTGCAGATTTTTGTGATCAGTCCTTTATCATTAGTGTTGGGTGCAAAAATGTTCTCCCAGTTGGTGGGGTTTCTCTTTGTTTTTGTTATTGTCTCTTTTGCTGTGCAGAAGCTCTTTAATTTGATGTAGTCCCAGCTGTTGATCTTTGCCTTCACTATCACTGGGGAATATAAAAATAAAATTTATTAATTAAAAAAAAAATAAAATAGCACTGTTCAATGGAAAAAAAAAAAAAGTAGAGTGTTTGAAGCATAGTGCCTTATGTTGGAAAGTAACATGCCTATGTCAAAGAACTATTGATAAAAGAGACGTGGTGACTGGCACACCAGGGACGAAAGTAGCATGGTACATAATCCCAGAAAGAAAGGCAAATGTGGGTTCTCCCCTGTGGTGCAGTGGGTTGAGCGCCGTGCTGTGAAGCTGTCCGCAGCCTCTGCAGCATGGGTTTGATTCCCGGCCCGCCGGGGAGATTCCCACATGGCGCAGCAGACCTCTCCTGTCTTGCCCGCTGCTCCCCTTAGCAGTGTCTTTGGTCAGTCTGCCTGTTCTGTACCCCACTCTGTCTCTGGTGAATCCTCTCACCCTCCCACATCTCTGACTGTACCCCAGCTCTTGTATAAATAAATCTTTAAAAAAAAAAGAAAAGAAAATAAAGGCAGATGCATGACCCAGAGGACCTTTTTTGGCCAATGGGTGATTTGTCTAAGACCAAAGAGAGGCCACTGTGTAATTTTTTTTTTTTAAAGATTTGTTTTATTTATTTATTTATACAAGCACTGGGTACAGTCAGAAGCGCGGGAGGGTGAGAGAATTCACCAGAGCCAGAGTGGGGAGCAGAGCAGGCAGAAGGACCGAAGCACACTGCTGAGGGGAGCAGCGGGCGGGCAGGAGAGGCCTGTGCGTCATGTGGGACCCTCACCTGGTGGCCGGGGAGCAGCCGGGTATCAAACCGGCGCTGCAGAGGCTGCTGGCAGCTTCGCAATCCAGCGCTCAACCGCTGCGCCACTGGGGAGGCCCCCAGTGTGTGATTTTAACTTAGGAGGTGTTACGGTAGGATGGGCAGTTAATGTGGGTTTAAGGACATAAGAGATTAACATGTTTTGGTAGAGACTTGGAAAGAATCATTCTGACTGTGGTGTAGAATGGATGCACCAATGTGAATGCTAGAACATAAGTAAAGGATGATAAATTGGAGTGGATTTCTAGAGATACAATGATGGGTAAAATATAGCAATTAGAGGAAAGGACAGAATTCAAGATGCCTCTTGGGCTGTAACTGTATGACTGAGTATATAATGCTGTCATTAATGGGAACAGAAAGCCCTGGAAATGGCTAGAACTGCCGTACCTGTCTGCTTTGCCTGTGTCCATTCAATATATGCAGCATAGCAGCTGGATATCCATTTATTACATTATGGGACGTTAAGGAGGCAAATGCAGTGACCTTGATGTACCATACAACAATGACTAACTTTTTCCTTGATATTGGTGCTGCTGTTGGAGTAGAGTTCAATTTTTATAACCAGAGTAATGTAGTACAAAGAGTGTCCTTTGTGATTAGACACATTTTGTTCTAAATCTTGGTTTACCATGTCTTAGTTTGGAAAGAGTAGACAGTTTAAGGTCTCTACCTTGGAATAATTGACATTTTGGGTTGGTAAATTTTGGAGGCAGAAGGTTGTTTAGTATATTTTAGGATGTCAAGCTGCAACCTGACTCCCATTCTTTAGATCCTTTTTTTAGGGCCACCGAAAATGCCTCCAGACATTGCCTATTGATTAGCTACCAGTAGGCAAAGTTCCCTCTAATTGAGAAATCTTTTATGGCTATGATCACATACCTTAACTGTTATTTAGTAGGTACATACAAAATTAGAAATTCACAATTAGACATGAAAGTAAATATTTTTTTTAAAGATTTATTTATGCATACAAGAACTGGGGTGTAGAACAGAGGTGCAGGAGATGAGCGGATTCACCAGAGACAGAGTGGAGAGCAGAGCAGGCAGATTTACTGAAATACAGATTTACTGGGGAGAGCAGGAGGTGAGGCAGGAGAAGTCTGCTGCACTGTGTGGGTTGCTTCCTGGCTGGCTGGAGATCAAACTCGTGTTTCTGTGGCTGGCGATAGCTTGATAGCTCTGTGTCTTTAACCCCTGCGCCACAAGGGAGACCCCGAAAGTAAATATTTTGAATAAACAAGAAATTATAAATTTTAAAAAGTAAGAAGTATCATTAATATCAAATAATTCAAAATATTTTGTTTTCCAGGGTTCCTTTCGGGGTCTTGGAAAGAAGGTCTTGCACAAGTCAGAAGACATTGAAGCTCATTGACCTTCATAGAAAGCAGCCTCTGAACAGGATTCAACACCTCTGAAAGATGGGAATGGGAGTAAAACAAGTCCTCGCCCCCACGGCCTGCATGGTTCTGCTTAGCTGGAGCTGCTCTTTACTCTACTTCAAGGTAAAAATCTTCTGTTCTTGTTCCTTCATTATGTGTGCTGCAAACATCCACAACAAAGGTCTTTTCATTACTACAAGAAGTGATTGTATGTTAGAAGAGGATAAAACTTCTATTATTCAACTTTTTTTTTTTTTTTTGAAAAAGAAGCTTTTGTTATTTTAACACACTAATTAATTATCAAGTGACAGTATAGGCCACCATCAAAGCCTGTTGATTGGAAGATTGAGTCTCAGTGACTGAGTCAGCAAAGGACCAGGCTACAAACATTATGGGCCTCATTCCAGTTTAACACTGATCTTATCACCTTAGAAACAACTTCCTCTATGGCCTCTTTATGGGATCATTGAGGAAATAATTACCTGTTCTGAAATCTGTTGGAATTAGCACTGATAACTAAAGATCTATTAAGGGATTAAGGTCTCAAGATCAGGCAGCTTCTGGCTACTAAGCATGTTTACGAAATTCTATATGGTAAGAGTCTTGGTTACCATAGAAATGACCTCTCTTTCATTATATATAGATGAAATTGTGCTTATAGGGCTTTCTTAGGTAGGAAAATTTTCCCCTTTGGAACTATTAGAGTTATGATAGCCATTGCATTAAAAATTTGTTTTGGCTTGATGGGGCTTTTATGGAACTCTATAGTAGCAACTCTTCATTTGCAAAGGCTGCCGTATAAAACACTGTACATGGGTAAACCAAGAGAAACTTCTTCATAGTTCTGGAAGCTGAGAGCCCAAGATCAAAATGTTGCAGGTTTAATTTTCTCTTTGGCCTTTGGCCTTGAGTTGCAGATGATGGGTCAGTTTCTTGCTGCCTCTGGTGGTCTGGGCATGCAGCTTCTTTGTCTCTTTGTTTCTCCTAAACTCTTTTTGTAAGGTTATTGATCAGATTGGATTAAGTCCCATCCTGATGGTCTCATTTTCACTTAATTATCTCTTTAAAGTTGCTGTCTCCAAATACAGTCACATTCTGAGTTACTAGGATGTTAGGGCTTCACTTACAGGGACAAAATTCAGAGCATAACAACAATCTTATAGATTTAGACGGAAGTTTATTGTTTGCAAAGTATTTCACATACATTATTTTAGTAGACTAATATCGTTAAATTTTCAATAATCAGGTCAAGCAGTAATTTCATTTTCCCTGCGAAAAACATTTTTCAGATTCTTGGTTAAAATAGTATAGTTCCAATACATGTGTCTTGGGGCTGTGTCTGTTTAGTGTAGTATAGTCACTAGTTAGCTCATTCCTATGAGTGATATATAGTTACCTAATGTTTGAATCTGAAGTTTTCATGATTTGGATAGTCAGTTTTTGGGGTCATATTACCTTTGTGAGAGATATTGATTTTGGCATTAACATAAGACAAGCTATTATGATTTTCTAAACAAACAAACAAAAAAACCCACCACCACCAAGTCAGATTCGGTACTGTTCAAAGTAAACTGAAGAGTTCTTTGTGTATCTGGCTTTAAGTATAGATATTCCTTGTGATCTTAGCCATTACTTTCTGAATATTTGATATAAGTGGCAAAAATTTTTACTAAAAATTCACGAACCACATAAAATGATCTATTGTAACAGATTTGCATGTGCATACTACTAAAACATGGGTTAAATTGCACATGGGTTCCAGATGAGAGAATGTAGGTTGCATTGAACTCTCAATTTAGCTTTTTCCAAGAGTTTAAGATCTTATTATTGTTCAAATATAGTGTATATCACTACAGTTATTCCCATGCATTTATGTGATTATATTTTCTGAGCTGGTAGAAATGCTCTTGAAGAATACAGGTGAGCCTAGAGACCTAGAAAAATCCATAGATTAAAGAGAAATTTTGAAAGGATGAGTGCTTGGGGCAAGTGTGAACACAAAAGTGATTGCAGAAAATAAAAACAAAATCTTAGCTCTTGATAAAAAGCCTGGATTTAGTAATAGAGAAAATATTTAAAAATCACAAATATCAAAAAGTAAAGGAATCATTCCCCATAAAATAAATCCAATTGATGCTCATCATTTGATCCAAGGAAGAAAATGAAAAGCAACCTTTATTCAAATGTGAAGTTTTAAAATAGATCTAAGGAAGGTTATACAAAATAGTCCTTGTTGCAAGTGGGTATAATAATTATGTACTGAGTAAAAACATCAAATTCCAAAAGTATCATTGTAAGTGTTGCCGTCGGGTATCAGTTAACAAATGGAACCCAAATATGTTTGTTTAGAAGGCTTGTTGGCCTTTTTGGCCCATCATTTTCTAAAGGGCTTTAGTAAAAGATTTATGGCCTCCACTTCCAGAGTCTCAATAACTACAAAGAGAAGTTCACTTCTTATTCCTTCCATTTAGAAAGTTGGCAGTGTACTACTTTCCTTACTTCTTCAGCAGCTTGTTCTCATCCATTGCTGTCTCCACCAAACAGCGAGTATGACCAAATCCCTCTTCATGTCCCTCTTCTTGAACCAAACCTTACTAGACATACTCTTCTACTTGTAGATAATTATTAAAAAGTACTTTTCTAATGGTGATTTTTCAACCACTAGTTATCTGTAACATTATTTCACTACTTGTATTATAGCACATTTTTGATGAAATATAGATGGGAAGTATAGTTATATCTGATAATGCATAATTTATAGTCATCTTTGTGTTAAGTTAATCAGACATTCATATTTACTTCTGCATCCCCAGTGTTTAGACACAATAGGAGATTATATTTTTGATGAATGGCTGAATGATGAAGAAAGCAGTCCTAAGATTCTAGTCTGCCTGGGAATTTTATCAATGTTTGAAACTTTCTATGGCAAAATGTATTCAGAGTTCTATACGCCTCTCATATAACTTTCGGAACACAAAACTGGGGTACTATTCTATACCTCATCAGAATTTTCTTGATAAAGTTTTCTCTGATTCCCAAGAGACTTGATTGTGTTTTCTCTTCCTTCCTGATCTATAATTGTTCTTGACAGTTCCTTGTTCATATACTTATGCTCCTGCTGAGATGATTCCTTCTAGGATGTGTCTAATGTGCTACCCTACATGCCAAAAGAGCATATAGGCATTCTATAATAGAAGAATTATAGATAATTATGTGCTGCACAAATAGCTTTGGCTGATGACAGCAGAGCCTTTATTCCACTTCATGTGTTTGGCTTCTGATGCTGTGACACCAGCTCTGCCCATTCTTCTCTCTGACATGGACACATCGCTCCCACTCATTAAAACTAAGAAAAGTTTATAACAAGGCATCTTTTCTTGCCCCTAGTGCCTACATTATACGGGGTATCACTTGATTTCCATGTGCTCTATCCTCTTGAGATTTTTTCTGGTGCAGCCTAACTGGGAGGGTGTGTTCTCATTAATGCCATTGCTACATCTGGTAAATTTCTTTCTCCTGTTAGGGTTGAAGGTAGAAATTGTCACTCAGTTTTGCAGTAAAGACCATTTTCCAAAACTTTCTTGGAGAAGCTAGTAGATTGACTGTCTCAGAAAAGTATGGGAGAATGCTGACTTATTTCTATTTAGTTTCCAAGAACAGAAAGCTAACAGATGAGGATGTTAACAAAGCCCATAACAAAATTAAGTGCTTTGAATATGACCTACAGTCTTATTTCCTTATATGATTATCTCTTTCTCTCAAGGATTTGAAAATTACTTTGGATTTTAGATCACTTATGTGATTTTACGTATTTCTATCCATTTAATTTCTGTTGCTCATTTCTATTGACCTGGAGACATAAATAGAAATTTATGGTTTATTTACTGGAAGAGGAAGTTACATAAAATTGAATACATAACTTTTTGCAATATCACCATATATTCTGGAAATGTTTATCCAAAACTAACTTAGATATTTCTATGGAAATTAGGAACACAACAATCATTTTCAAGTTGCCAACATTATGTGCACACAAAGCAATCCAACTTGTGCCTCCAGGTAGAAGAACATAAAACTATCTAAAACATTCTTGCCAAAAATCTAAATCTGAATTTGATCAAGGCTATATCAACTTAATATTTTCCAGGAATTACAGGGACAAAAGAGCATGTTAACAACACAAGAATGCAGTCAGCAAAATATAGAACTTGTTTGTTTAAAAAAATAAGTTGCAAAGAGGACCAAAAAGAGTTAGAGAGAAATCTATAGCGTTAAAGAGACTTAAACTCATCAATCCATCCTTGACTGGATCCTGAGAAGGGAAGATTTGGAATTATCGCCTAAACTCTTCAGTCAACTAATGAAGGAAAGCAGTCTTAAAAATACTAACTTGGCCAAGGTCATGTAGTCATAGAGACCCTAGTTTCTGGTGCCATTTTTCTTACCAGCAGCGTGGTGTGTCTTACAATATACCCATATGATTCTGACTTAACTTCAAATAGAAAGTAATGAACTAAAATTATACTTGGTCAAATGAGTAAATAGTATTTATTTTTCTTAATTAGAATTTTAGTCTTGGTCATATATAAAAACGCTAATGTCCTATCATATTTCAAATTTGAAAAAAGGAATTAAAATAAAATGGAAACATGAAGACCTCTCATAATTCTTTCCCTTGAAGTTTAACTTTATTCTTTCCAGGCACATGACGTTAGCTAGGGAGGATATATATGTAATGCTGAATTTCCCTTTGAACCAAATGTATAGCAAACCACAAAGTACACAACTGAAACCAAAATAACCTCATTTGATTGGAACACTTGTTCCTGAGCTAGAATTAATATAGACCAGAACTTCCCTAAGCCTTTTTCATAAACATATTTGAAAATTGCTGTCATAGCTTACCATGTTAGGAGACAGATTTTCCCTGTGCTTAACTAAATTAGAATTGAAATAAACC